GCATTTTTTTCCCCAAAATCCTTAACCCCCCTGCCCCTCCTGCAGTGAACCTAATGTCCTCGATGACTCCCCGAGCCTGACCACTGAGGGCAGCCTCTCTAGGTACAGTGTGAACACTACCTGTCTGTCAGTGTGTGTGCTGGGAAACGAGCCGTTTCCAATCGCCTCTGTCTCTTCCCCTCACCCTTTGTCGCTCTTTCCATCTCTGTCTCTTGTGGCTCATCGATATTCAGGCCTGCAAGTCAAAGGTGTAGCAACCCACCTTCAGTTTTCAGCTTTGATTGCCAACTACATTAAGGAGTCTAAGGGGAAGAGGAAAGAAAAAGCTATAGCAAGTGAAATATTGGTCTGGCTGGCTAGTCTCAGGGTTTTCCTCTTGTTTAGCAATTGCTTGAAAGGTATGAGAAAGATTATCCATAAGGCATTAGCTGTAGCCTGTTATAAGCATTCTTCTAGAGGCTTATATAAAACAGACACATCTGTTTTTCCATTCATCTCACAAAGCTGTCACCACAAAAGACTTAATAATGATATCAAGCTGTGTTCTTTAACATTCACTAATTAAACAATTATGATAACTCCTATGGAATATAGTTCTCTGTGGATGCTTTACAGTCCTTCTTGATATTTTTCCAATTCTCAAATGGCACCTTAGAAGCTTGCAGGTGAACACAATTAATACGTATTTAAAATTGCCCTGTCGGTTCGGAGTTCAGGTCTAGCTGTTCCCCATTACCAGTGGACAAGGGAGTTTGTATGCGAACACTGTTACAGCTGTGCCTGTCAAATGGGTCAGGAGTGAGTTTAGAAGGGAGGTCTGCACCTTTAACAGCCAGCTCAGTTGTGTTAATCATCCTTACTGTCCTGATGCTGTTCTCGCACCTCTCAACCCATCCTCGTGAGGTCAGAGAGCTGTCGTTAGTCCCAAGATCATCTTTGTTTCCTTCCAGAAGAACATGGCCTTGGCAACATGGAGGGTAACACATTACTTCATTACTTTACCACACCAGCTGAAGATGTGGATGTGTTGAGAAGCATTTGTGTGAATGATTTTTATTTTGTTATCGTGGTTTTAGATATCAGTAGTGCCTCTTCAGGGTGGGGACAGGCTGCTTTGTTCATTCTTCTCAGCTGACAAATGTAGAGTTTATCACTGGTGGTGTCACCGAGATCATCCCACGATTCATGGTGTCCCTTGCATGCATGAATCCTGCTTTGGCAAATTGGTCTCTAGTTGGTCCTATTGTAGGAGTGGTGTCAGGAAAAGACATCAGCTTGTTGGCAGAGGCAGGAATATTGTTATCTGATTTTGTGATAAAGTAAAATGGATTGCATGGTCATCTGAGCACGTTTTGGGGCCTAAAGAGAACAAAAGTCATTCAGCTGAAGAGTTACATATCATCCCTTAAGCAGAGCTAAAAACTCACTATAGTTGAGGAGGATGACATAGGAGAAATCCGTATCTGAGTTAAAGCCATAATGACCTGATACCAGGTTACATCAGTGTTGAATTTTAAATATTTTGATCTTGTTAACTGGGGAGGGAGGGAGTCACTCCTCATGGTGGTGAGGCTGAGGAATATAAGACAGCTAAGTCAACAGGTGAGTTCAAATGCAATAATTTATTTTGAACCCTGAAATGTAATCAGCTGTACAGTGGGTTTCTACTAATTTCTGTCACACCAATTTTCGCTAGGGACCAGGACACTATCGTCTACCTTGCTCTATGGTACAGAGATTTCTGTAGACCAAAAGGGTAACAGGTGTACGTGGGAATCAGTTCTGTTGAGGTTTATTATTCTTTGCAAGGAGCAGGTACTAACAAATGAAGGAGGGGCATCAGGGCTGCCAAGCCTTAGAAAGAATAAAGCGAGGGAAATACTGCAAATTTTTATAAGAAGGCTAGGTTAGAGTTCTGTGAGGAAGAAAAGATGTTTCAACTGCATGGCTAAATGTGCAAATTGGATTCCTCCTCTAAAGGACAGAAGTAATAAAGCAGACATTGTAGGAGCTTATTGTGCCGTGGGACAGAATTAATGTGTTTTTATATTCAGGTACATTAGTTTTGAATAAAGCAGGCTTGAGTTTTTCTTACATAACTTTGATTTCGGCTGCAGCACAATGATAACAAATGTTTAGGATTGCCTTCTGAATTCTAAAGCTGATATTTAGTCAGGACTGATGTAAACAAATAAATCATACAGAGACTAGACCCTTATGGTAGTGTCACCGAAAATCCGGGAATAAAACCTCGTAACACCAATGTAGTGTTAAAAGGCAGGCATTCTTTATTGCAGCACTGGATGCACGGGGGATAATTCCACCGAACGTGCATACCTCATACCTTTTTCATGCAGTTTATATAGATCAGAAATATACATATTTATTTTATTCATGCATATTCAGTATTATTCTCTTTGGCGATTGGTGTAAACTTGTCTCACTTCTTACGTAAATAGTTGCGCAGACTCAGTTACCATCTTCTATTGTTCCTTTTTGGGTAGGTGGTATTACTTGAGTAGGGGGTCTGTGAGTCTGTGGTTGCGATCTCCCCCTGTTGGAATTACCTTTTACCTGCTGGCTCGCAAGCTTGGCAGTCCTGGTCAGTTCCTTCAGTCCGCTTCACAGAACCACACTCCATCATTTCTCTTGACAGAAACACAATTACCCACTACGGTTAGCGTTAATGGTTACGTAGAGACTAGACCCTCTGTTCCCAGACCTAATGTCCAGGTGGGTAGGGCTGTATCAGGAGCATAGCAGCACTGTTCATGTTTATGGTTAACTGATTCTATCACCCTGGTTACAGCAGGTAGGCATTTTAAATAAATTAAATAAATGGTGACAAACACAAAAACAAATAAAGTCTGTTTCTCTTTGTTCTACAGCAGTTAGAGCCAGCCACGTAGAAAAGCAAGGAAGACAGGAGGGGGATAGCATTTAAGTGCTCAGAAGTGAAGAGACAGCATGGGGTACAGGGCTGAGGAGCACATGTGCAGCATTGTGATTTGTTGTGGTTATAATCTGAAAGGAGAGTATATTTTCCCAAAACAGAAAAGAAGAATGACAAGTCACTGTAATGGAAATCTGTTGTACAAACACATTTCCCTTTAATGTTTGTCATTATGCCTATCTTAGCTTAATGGTGCCTAATAGGGAAAATCAGAGTGAATTCACCTTGCCAGGGCAAGGCAGCAGATCTAACACTAAGTGGACTAGGATGTGTCTGGGAGTACAAGAGGTGGAGTTCGTCTACATTTTAACTCATTCTCCACTGGCCTTTGTCCACTAAACCTCTCATTCAGATGTCTTGGGACACAAAGTGTGTACATTCTTCCATAATGGCCTGGCAAACATGTACATCTTTTTAATAGACATTTAAACACCTTTCTTCCTTTGTCTCTGTTTTGTTTTCTTCTTTGTTCTTTCTCTTTTTCTTTTTTTGGCTGCATGTTTTCTTGTAATTCATGAGCATCACTTATTATAATTGCCAACCTGACAAAGTTTCTTTCAGCCCCCACTGTGTGACTGTACTGGCTGTCATTTCTTGTAGTGCTGGCAACATGCTTCCATGAAGCTGGGTTCATTTGATCTTTTGCTCACCTGTCTCTGCCCTAACTATGTAATGGGAGTAACATTATTGTGAAGATAAAACCCCTGACAGAGATACTCAGAGAGTGACAGAGTATCTTTGTGTTGGGCAGGAAATGCTTCTGGTTTGTTAGTACTTGATTTATGTACTGCATAAAACCCCTTCTTATCAATGACATTGCCACAGGAGGGAAGCGTACTATCAGCTGAAATGGCATTTGATTCTGTGCTCCTTTATTGGGTCCCATGGGCTGCCAGAAAAACAGTATACTCCTGGTCGGGTCTGGTAAACAAGGAGAGACAGAAAAGGAGGGAGGGATGGCTACACAGAGCCAATAGTCTGCCTGCTACACTAATTTTCATGGAAACAAGATCAGTAGTGCTGTTCTTTGATGTGAAAAAAAATGCTCAGAAACCCTCATGAAGTGAAAGGGTTATATCTGAAAATTCAGTCACTCATCTGAAATTTGTGGTCTTTATGATTCCCTCTCTCTTTCTTTACCTCCTTCAAAATTTGGGTATAGAAGGCAAAAAGACAACCACAGTAGGACTGTGCTGTGCACAGGCAGCTCTGCAAGACTCAGCTTCTCTTGGGTCCACCATTTGTCTGCAATAGATACCTGCACTTCAGCACAAATTATACCAATTTGTGTAATGATTCAGTACTGGAAATAGACATCCATCAGCTCACTAAACTCATTTCACTTATGATATAAGCCAGGCTGAAAATCCCAGACTCCAGAAGGAAGACACAAAGTCCAGCCTTTCTTTTGCTCTCCTATTGTTCGTCTTCAGTGCACAGATTACTCCATGAGAACTGTTTTTTTCCTTATGTATAGCCTCTGTGCCCTCATGGGGTCCATGTACTCCCTTTATCTAATGACTTTTTCAAAGTGTTTCATGATGCGTGTGACATGAGATTGTTTCACCACTACAAAGAGTGTTTTTTACTGAATATAATTGCAGTCTTTCTGCTACAGACATTTATGTCTCCTCACTCATAGAACTAAGAGTTGTTACTGTTCCTTCATCAGAAATTGTAACAGTATTCTCAAAAACTAGTCCAACAGCAAATTATTTCTTCAAGACGTTCTTCAGCTCGTACCTACTTCACCTAATTCACATACTGGTAACTACTCTAAAACATCTTAAAATTCAGAGGAATAAATTTTCATGTGATCCTAGAAACAGAAAATTAAGAAAATTCTACAAGATGTAATTTCAGGTAGTCTGGATCACAAATCTAAAGACCAATTTAAGAACAATCTCTTTGCTTTAATAAGGAATGATGTATTGCTTCTTGACCTACCAGTCATATGTGCCGCTGTCGTTGTCTGGGTCAAGAACACAGTCCTACTAACAGGAAGTCACTATGAGGACCCTGCTTACTCATAGGCGGGTGCTTGCATGATGTTTAGGATGCTTTGTATGTAATTCATGTCAATACCCTACGTAAAAGCTGGAAAATATGTTCCAGAGACTGGTGATCTCATTTAGAAGAGCTATCTGAGGGACAAAAGGACTCAAATATATCTTGTTTGTCCTGGCTTTGAGCTTGCAGAAGCTTTTCCTTTCTTTCCAAACCACTGCAGCTGTGATGAGATTGCTGAGGGCATGCCTAGGATTATTAGGCTGTGGTCAGATAATCAGAAGAGTAACAGCTTCAGGGTCTTAAGATAATTTCTCTCTCCTTGAAGCTGCCCATTGTCTCCCCAGTAGTGCTGGCAGAAACACACACGTATGGTTTAGTGCAAAGTCTGGCTTTATTTTAAACTGGTAAGGGAGGAAAGAATAGGACTTTCAGGTCAGGTAACCAGACCTTAACCTGAAGCAGACCAGGAAGCTCTCATGTTCTGTTCCACCAAACCTTTTAAGGGCAATAACTTCCGCCAAAACAAAGAATGAGCTGTTCAGGAGACAGAACTTTTTAAGCCTCTCCACAGATATCCTCCATATCTTGTCTGACCATGTTCTTAGTTTTGTCTTCTTCCTCCGCTCCTGTAAGGTCAGGCAATAAACCTTCACTCTGCTGGTGCTTCTGAGCTCCTCCAAGGAGATCCAAGGAAAACATCTGGAGAAAAGGATGTTGGCTTCCTTTAGACTACTTCAGGCCAAAGGCAAAATGGATTGTAGCACTGAATCTTCAACAATGCATACCAGATATAGCTGGAAGTTGCTTAAATAGGACATGTGGCTCAGTGAATTCCAGTCTGTCCCAAATAAACAGCTGCCTGGTTTAAAAGAAGTCCATCTTAAATGTTAGTTGCTATTGTAACCATATGTCTCTCAGACATAGTTCATTCAGCTAAAATATTTTGTGACCACTGTCTGCCAAATGACCAATTTTATCTGTTTGAAGTAAAGCAATGCTCTGACAAAAATGGTGGGAGGGTGGTATTTTTATATTAAGTAGATTAAATAGTCAGTTGAATGGCAGAATGAGATGGTATGTAGCTGAGTATGTTTTATTGCTAAAGATTCTTTTACTGCACCAAGATATTAAAAACTAAAAAGCTGTGTTCATAAACATATATATATATATACACACATAATTTATGTTTAATTGTCTTTTTTGTTTGTTAGCCACAGAAAGACTTAAGGCTGCAAGTGTTGAGTGTGGGGCCTTGTTCACATAACTCATGCATCCATTATGTGAATGGATCCTTTGTCAATTTGTGTTTATTTTTTGTTTGTTGACTTAAATTGAAATTAAAACCAGATGACAAAATTATGATGAGTCTGTGGAGTCTATTTGGGAGGAACAAAAATAGCTTACATCATTGTCCTTGAAAAAGGAAAAGCAAACAAGAAGGCTTTTGAGCTAGGAAGCTGATATTCTTGCCTTTATTGATGTGGCAAAGGATGCAGAGAAGTGAGTGTTGCTCAGTGGGATGCATCAATCAATGACTGAAAACTGAAATCTGCAGTTGTTTATATTTGGATGCTACCTGTGCGTGGCCAAGTCCTGAATGCCATGACTCCACCTCCCACCCTTTCCTAAGCCCCAGAAGCTACAACCCAACAGACACGTCCCCTCCATCCTTCAAAGACAGTATTGCTCTTTGAAGTGATTGTGCCATTAGTGGTTGGTTTATTTATTTTTATTTATTTTAGTTGCAATTGCCAGGACACCTACTATACAGGGTGCTTCTGTGCTTGGCCTAATGCTGTCAACATCTAACAGGGTGGCAAGTGTGCAGAGTGAACCAGGACAGCAGAACCTTCTTCTGCAGCTGCCCCTGGGGCGGAAGAGAGGCCTACGGCAGGTAAGAACATGGGGAGTGAACAAACCTTCTCTCCTTCTGTTTGAGTTTGGTTGTTTTTTCTTGTGTGTGTCTGGTTTGAAATTATTTCTGGATGTGACATGTCCATTTTACCTAATTTGTGATATACTAGTGCAGTCAGTTGAGTCTGCAGGAACCGTAGCACAAGTTGTAGCAGAGAGCCCTGACAGATCCCTAAAAGTGGAGGTGCACTTTGAATTCTCCAATCACTCGTCTGCAGGATTTGGGTTTTTTTCTCATTAAATGATGGTCACACAATCTGCATTGCATTACATTCAATATTGAAACTCCAACGGCACAAAACCCAGAAGTTCCTATGAAGGAGATGTCTGAGCCACAGAAACCTTAAAACATGTATCTGCTAAAAGCAGAGTGAATGGACTTCTAGAGAAATATACAATGACAATCTGCTCTCCTTACAGAGAAGTTGTGCGATATGCGAACATACATCAGCCTAACTCTTTCTTCCAATGTTTAGCTTCGACGACCACTGCTGTCACGTCAGAAAACTCAAACCGAACTTCGTAGCCGTCATGGAGCTCGACTTTCAACGACGAGGCGGAGCATCCAGCCAAAACCAAAACCTACCGGTAGGGCAGTGCTACATTTCCAGAACTTCAGCACTTCATATCCGAAAGTATAAAAAACTGTGTTGTTGTTTTAGCTTAAAGGAAAAGTTAGTACGTAAGTTGTTTTCACTGTAGAAATAAGGGGTGCCATTCTTTACTAGTTGGTGCCCAGTTCAAGCTGGCAATGACTGGAAACTATTACCCTTAATTTGCTCTTCAGTAGCCTATTTCAAAGTGAAGCCCCAGAAGTTTTAACCTTTTTCCCACAAAGTGGACATCCTATCAGAATATCATCCCCTCACAACACTTTGATGGTTTCTCCAAGGCCTTTAAGATGACACTGGGCATGGACAGTGAATTATCATGTCTCCTAGAGGTGTGGAGAATTTAGGCAACAGGTGTCCTCTGTTCAGGATGCCTTGTCCAAAACCTCCAGATGTACAAATTTTGAAGCTGCTATTGAGAGTAGTAGAAAGAAGGAGATTTCCCATCATTTGCAAGCTTAGCAGTGCAAAGCTTTAAGGGTTGTATATGGAATTGAATATGGGGCTGTTCTAGTCCATGCTGTATGTTTCCAAGAGTCAGCACTGCCAAACAGAGCAGGTGGCTGTATTCTGCACCACCGGAAGTGAGCAGTTAACTTTGGAGGGAACACCTGGAAGACCAAAGGTTGCTTGGGAACTTGTGGGCTTTCTAACTACCCAGTCAGGACTGTGCTGGGGCAACAGTGCTGCTGGAGAAGTCTGACACATAAAAGTTGACCCAAAATAATTAAGAGCAGGAGCAGGGATATCAGTTTTACTGTTAAGTGTTAGTCTAGCTGTCTTCACCCTGTGCTGTTTTGTTATTCCCGGATAGTGGACTCAGTCTGCGGGAATGGTGGGCAATCAGCTGCCCTGTTTATTTTCTCAGATTTCCTGCAAAACTTTGGGCAATTCACTTATATATTTGCATCTCAGTTTTCTTTTTTCAGTTGATGGCAGAAATGCCTAGCTCACATGGGAATTCAATTCAGTATATTCTTCTGGGATGGAAAGATGTTATGGGTGCCATTTATCTCACCAAGCCATGACAAAGATAGGTAGGGCAAATGGTCTTCAGGAGATCCGCAACACTTGCTGTGGCTTTACAGCTTTTACAGGGTAAAAGGCTTTTAGATTAGACTCCAATTAGACAGCTTTTAAAGATGGAATGAGTCATGAATCTTGTCTTAGTTGTCAAAACTCCAGGGATCCTCTCTCGTCTTTTCTTGTTGTGCTTTCCTTCCCAAATTGTAGCATTTTAATACTCAATTTTCTGGGCTTTGTACCCTTCAGCGGAGCAGAAGCGGTCGGTGACTTTCACTGAAGCCCAGCCTGAGGCAACAACTGCCTCCCCAGGGACCCCATGGGCTCCAGCAGCCCAGGAGCAGGGCTGCAGCCACAGCAGTCCCCAGGTGACCAGCAAGCAGGAACCACTAAGTAAACCTGTGCTGACTTCGTCACCTGCCATAGTCATAGCTGATCTCCATACCCAGACCACCGGCCAGGTAACATGACTGACGGTTTTATCACGTGTGTCTGTCTGCTGCTTCATCTCAGTTTTGCTGATTTAAGTTGCAGGGCAAATTGACAGGGAAATGCCTGCTGCATTGCAGCACTATAACAAAAGCTGGCAGGTGAGTGAAGACAGCAAACTCTTCTGTGCATCTTTTCTTTAGGCTGAGTTTGCTGTCCAACCCCCTACTTTTTAATGTGCTCATATATTTCCTGCATATTTCCTTTCCATCTTCCCATCCCATATACTTGTCCTTCTGCACCTGTTCATCAGAGCAAGTTTTCATCAACAGCTTGCTGGTCTTTACAGCTTGCTATCTGAGAAATGTGTCCTTAAGGAAGGACTCCTTCAAAACCTCAGGACTGTTGTAGCAAAAGCATCACATTTCAAAAGAAATTGCCTGTCGAATGTTTTTCTGTGTTGGACACCACTGAGGACAGTGCAGGGACAGTCACAGTCGCCACTTCAACACATCAGTGACATCAAGATCACTTTTATACGCCCAGACATCTAGTGTCTTTTGGGGGTTATGTCCTTTGCCATGAACACATGAAAGACATCTGTCTTGAAACTATACGTAAGAAACTGAAATAAGGAGCTGTTAATGACTGAAATCAGATAACCTTTCTGATCATTGCTACAATCTGCAAGTGCCTGGCCCTTTATGGTAAAAAGTATTTCTGAATAAGAAAATATTTTATAGATGTTCCCTTGCTTTTTTTCCCCTGTCCCTCCCACTTTCTCTGAGCCTGACCACGGGCTCTCCTCAATTGCAGAGTGAGGCACTTTCTGCTGAGAAGGAGCAGGAAAAAGAGGAGGGCTTGGAGACCCAGCCAGCAACAGCACAAAGCACCCCACCCACACAGCTCTCTGACACTGAGGACTACGCTGGCCTCGAGACCACCAGCTTGCTGCAGCATGGGGACACTGTCCTTCACATCAGTGAGGACAACGGGATGGAGAACCCCTTGCTGGCCACTCACTTCAGCTTTACGCATGTGGAGCTTGGGGAGACTGATGTCGATCTAGATGAGTCTCATGTTTAACTCTTGGGGAAATGGAGTAGTGTGAGGAGGAAGAGAAAGTGTACCTTCTCCTTTGAGTCCCCTGGTAACTAGTAACCAATTACAACAAGAGCGCTTTATTATCCAAAATCAGAAAATAGCTAACAGCCAGTTGCTACAGACTGGCAAATTTCTGTTCGTGAAATCTATTTCAGTTCAGGGGAAGACTGCAGGAACAGCGAATTTTTATGGAATTCTCAGGGTAGGGGTGCGTGGGCAAATAATGTGGTCCATAAAAACCTGGTCTGGCAGCCATGTACTGTGATCAGCAGCCTCCCTAGGTAAGCGGGCTGTTGTACTATATGAGACAGAGGAGAGAAGCCTAGTGTGAGATTGTGCCCAAAATTTATTTTTGTAGCGTTTCTGAGAGGAGGGCTATATAGTAGCTGAATCCAAGGCTCTTACACCTTGGTACTGACAGCGAAAACACTGACAAAAAGTACCAGTCCAAAGCTTGGTTTTCACAAGCCTGGGACCATTGTTTCTCACTTGCAGAGCAATGATAAGCACCATGGAGCAATTAGACTTTGTCTTTTTTGGCACTGTAGACTTTAGTTGAGTTTAGTTTTGCCTGTTGGTTTCATTCCACTCAGTAAGATACTGCCCTTGTGCTACAAAAATATTTGCTCTGTAAAACTAAATACAGTACCTACCGTAAGAAGGAATGCACGTGCTGTGCACAGATACAGATGGGCAGGGGGTGAGTGGTCTGCGCTGTCCTGCTTAAATGTCCACGCTGTCCTGCTTAAATGTATTGAGTAATTCATCTCCTCGGCTTAAAAAAACCCCAAGAAACTGCATGTGGAATGCGTGGACCTTCCTGTACCTAGCAACTGCTCCACTGATGCTGTCATATGTACTTAGATACAAGGATTTAAAGTAAATATTTATATATGGTATTTTCATGTTCCTATATATAAAAATATAAATATATATGTACATTGTAAAGAAGAGATGGATATTGCAGGGCAGAAACTTGATGAAAGAATCTATTTTTGGCATTTTGAGATCATATTTAAAAAGGTTCCTTTTTATGTACGGAATGTTCATGGCTGCAAGGATTAGATACATATATGTAACATTTATACGTAGGTGGAGATCCCCATGGGGGATCAGCTGAAGTCACAGCTGAGCTATGAGCTGTGCTGCAGCATCATGGAATTACACTGAAATGTGAATTTAGCCATTAGCTGCTTACGGGCAAACTGCAAAACAGCTGTGAAACAAACCATGAAATCATAAGCAACGCCCAAGGTTGCCCTGTGCTTTGGGAATCATAGACTGCCTTTCTCAGCTTACATTAGAAGAACTAGATTTTATAATCATTGCATTATTGTGCAGAGGAAAATGTTTTAGATCTTCCTGAGAGTCTGTAAAATGTGCTAATTACCAGTTTGGCTCCTAAGGGCTTGTAATTTGGTGCACGCATCATAAAACAGCCTCGCTGAGGAGACAGAACAATATCCTCCTACCCATCATCCAAAGAAAAGGACTCGCATCTCTTTTCAACAGCTCTAAAAATGCTGTTTAAAATACTGCCATACAAACGACTGCCTCACTGCTGTAGTGCAGCATGCAGTTTTTACTGTTGCATGGAAAAATAACCATATACCTGACAGCAGGTTTCAGCCTGCTGAAACCTGTGGAGTCTTCAGGCTGTGCTGCCCGGTATTTGCCAAATGCTCAAATTTGACGGGAGCTGTGCACACCAATCTGGAGAGGGACCTCACGCATGTTAAGCCTCTGAACATAGCAAAAGCCATCCTTCTCCCAGGCTCACTGGTGTTGGGCATGCTCTGCTACCACTGCGTTGGTGAGAGATGGAGACTTTCAGCACCTCATGGGGAAAGCAGGGCTGAAAAGGCAACTATTTTTATAGTGCACCACCTGTATCACCATATGGTGATACCAATGCAACTTCAAAGTGTACGCGGATGTGTAAGAGAGATGGTTAGGTGAGGATGGCAGTGTTTCGATGCGCTGCTCAGTGTGCATCCTGAATGACAAAATGCTTACTCTGCTGACCAAACCATGCCGTACTGCTGCTTATCTCCTCAGCGAGTTGGAGCCAGCACCACCTACCTACCTGTAGGAAATTGCTTTGGATTAGCTCCTAGCTTGGAGCTCTTAGCTCAAAGAATTTCTAAATTCCAGATGCAGAGTTTTATTATTAACGGTGACACACAAATAAGAAAAAACACAGTGCACTTTCAAACCCCAAGGTAGGCTGTGTTACCGGCAGTTGGGTGGGGGAGGAGTTTCAGGTGCGAGCTGCGTAAACAGCTGGGTTGCAACATGTACAGAATTCATGGTGTGTTTTACAGAGTGACCTTTTCTGCTGAAAGTGAGAAGGAAACATTTTTCTTAATGAAAAGTAGATGCCTCGCCACAGTACTCCACTCTAACAATGAAAAAATAACTGTGATTTACTTCATTTCATTCAGTGTATGTAATAAATGTTTCCATTCAGGTTTCCCACTGTCGCTGGTGAATCCACAGTAGCAAGCCATAGCAAGGACTAAAATGTCTACCCTGCTAGAAATTAATGCAGCTTATAAATGATGTAATCTGTAATTTAGTTTTATTCAGGTGGCCGGGCAGATGGCTTTGCTTTTGTTGGACAATTGTTGCAAGCTGGAACAGATAGGCAGACCCGTCTGTCTGTTCTCTCATGTGTTTTACTGTCGTGTCAGTTGCACTTAATACTGTACTAATGAGGCGCATATGGTGTACTTTCGCTGGTTTTTGTTTTCCTCCAGTATCTCTGGAACAGAACTGGCCTGTTTCTGCTGTGATGACAAATGATGCTGCTTAAATAGTGTTAGAGGCCTTAAGCGCATGCCATGCTCAACAGCCACCCAGGCCTTGCGAGTCTCGTCAGCGTGTCCGTTGGCCCCACTGCCTCAGCATTTTAAGCAAACGTTGTTCCACAAACTAAATACAAAGGAGTAACGTCAAAAGGACAGAGTTCTGTGTTTAAGCCTCTTGTGCAACACCGCGTCGGTGTCCCATTCCGAGGGGCTTTGGTACCCTGCTCTTTGACACGATTTTGACCCAGGACACGGGCAGCCCTTGTTCAAATCCACCCTTCTGCTTGCAGCACGGGCCCGGCCGCAGCTCGCTCGACGCCTCCGCCCAGACCCGCGCAGCGACAGGGGCT